GACTGGCAAATGGTAGCGATAATATTAAAAAGTGATGAATTATGTACTAAAAGCTCCTATCAGGGAGCAAAGCTGTTTTGTGGCAGATATTTAAGAAGCTGAGAGATCCCTTTCCCTTTCTGGATTTAATGCAAAACCTTCGTGGAAAATACAGATCAACAAAAAGGAATCATTTCACCACCAGGCTGCAGTGCAAATAAGAGGCTGATGAGAGTCGAACACCACTGTAAATTGGTATCGCCTCCAGTGCTCCAGAAAACGCATGAGCATTAGCTTCAGAAAAACCCCGATGGGTAACTGGCTTGGGGAAAATGGAACACATTAGGTCCTCCGCATTTATCCCAACTCTGTAAAATAGTCAAGGCAGGGGCAGAGGGAAGTGGAAATGGATGCTATTAAGTCACTTGCCTGTGGCAATCGTGTGTAATTTATTAGCTTATCCTGTAACATGGATCCTGCACAGCTCCTGGTGCTCTATCTGGCACAGACCACAAGGATGTGCACTGTCTTCCCACCTTTGCTGCTGTACAAGGCTGTTTCGATTTAAGTGTTATGATAGCAAAGAGGAAGACTTATCAGTTCTGGCTGCCCCCTTGCAGTAATAGTGGTAGGATGATCCACACCTCCCTTGGTGCACACACAAGGAATGAATGCTAGGGTTTAAGTCTGATTGCCCGTTGGATGTCACTGCTCCTGGCAAAGAGAAAGAAAATGCAAACATGTTTCTATGGCTAGGAAGGAAGAGCTTCAGTAAAATTAAATCTAGGAATGGTTTGCAGTTAACTCACAGTTAGGCTGCTGCGAGTTCCCGCTAATCCTCTTCTTTCAGCAGGTTATGGTTTGGCTACTCCATAAAGCTTCTCAGCTCAGGAGCATATTTTACACATTCAAAGAGGTGATACATGGGACAGGATAACCTCTGCCTCACAAATTTTTAGAGGCTTCCTAACTTCTACATGTGAAGATAAGCTTAACAGAATTGGAAATGGCATTGATGTACTTACAAGTAGACCAAGTAGCAGAGCGTGCTGGCAGAGGTATTGCTTATAACTCAAGGTTTTCCTGAGCAAGAACAAAGCCCCAAGGAACCCCAAAGAATGTAGCCACAGACTCCCTAGCATATGAGCAAATATCAAGTTTCTTTCATACATGCAGCAGACTATAATACTCTAGACGTTGCTGACAAGAGTACGGGTGTGTTACATAAAGGAACTTTCTCTGCAAGTGGAGCAGTGGGTCTAAATGTGAGCGATTCACTTCATGCTCTCCATCGAAAGTAAACCTTCTGATCCTATGTATTGCCAGGACAAGGTGAAGAAGAGCCTGAGAGCGCACCCCTAAGCTCCAGCACGATTACCCCCAGATATTTTTAGTTACTGCATTTCGGTATCCCTGTGGTAGAGAGTGAGAAAAAAAGAAAAAAGATTGCCCACACCCAGCAAATAAATTTAGCAATTGTTTCCAGTTTCATCTTCTAGTTGACTAAGTCACAACACAGCTGCCTCACATTCCATTAGCCTTCAGCTGTCCATCTCCCCCCACTCCTTGGCCACTCCTTTCTTACAGTCATTATGGACATTCACTCTTGCTCCATGCGCCTGCAGGCTACAGTTCTTAACACTGTAGTTTTGAAGCTCTGCCGTTTAACACCTGTCAAGCCTACACCCTACATCTTTAAAAAAACGTTAAACCCCCCGTTCTTTATGCTGATCTCTGCAAAGCGTCAAGTCACGATGTTCACCCCATGCCTACAGTGTGCCTCCAAGCAAAACTCAGCCTGGCTTTTCCTTAAATACAAACTTAATTAACCCAGATCTTGCCAGCTTGTGAGCATCATTCAAGCAAGACTGCAGGAGCCACCAGAAGTGCCAATACTGGACTATATCAGATGCATAGTCCTTCAGATAATGAACTGAGTCCTTAGAAAGATGCAGGTAGGAGAAAGAGATTAATCTTCTGTTTCCAGGTCAGGACATTTCTCCAGAAGATTACTTGGTTTGAAAACCACTAACCTGGAAAAGGGACATTTATGTTGCTCAATGCACAATTTCCAATCAACTAAAAAGTCTTCTTTGGTATCTGAGAACATGGTACAGTGATGGAAACACGACTAGAGGGAGACATCTCTCTGCCCAGTAACTCCACTTAAACAAAATTTAGGAAAACAAAGGAAAAAATATGGAAGACTACATAGATGTGAAAATAAGGACTCCAGGTGGGATAATTTCCAGACTGACAGAATGATCATGTCCTGATTAGAGGCAGAAGAGTCCATGACAATTAGGAATTTACCTTTCAAGGTATCTAATAGACAAGAAATAATGTACTGCATACAAAGTTTCCACCAGGATGTACCAATTTGTGTCAGTTGTATTCTATCGTATCTTTTTTCTTTAACCATTTTCCACGAGAATAAAAGCTTTCTTAGGATTTCCCACAGAAGTTTATACAGCAAGCTTAAAATGGAGGAGACTTCAGAGATCGACTCAAGCACTTATAAGAAAGAGCTTAAGACAATAGCATTTACTGTGAAAACGTGTTTGCCCTTGGCTGCTGAAGTGAAATAAAGCTACCTGCCTGCCCACCAGATAATTCAGTATATGATACCAGGCGACTTGTATGTGTGTGTGTGTATATATCCCCACGACGTGGCTACTGAAAAGGCAAGTTTGGAGCTGGAGCGGGAGAGCTTCCTAAGCTATTGTAAGGCCAGGAATTTCAGTGCACATGAAAGATAAAGGTGGCCCAGCATCAAGTTGCATTCAAACAACTGAAATCTACTTTTGCTAATAAGATGCGCTATCCATCGGACCTCGATCACAGAAGCGTCTTCTCCTTTGAGCAAAGATTTGCTTGCATCCAAATGCTCTCTTTCTCCCCATAGATCTGAAGGATGCAGAACAGTCCAGCTCCCTGGAGTGTGCAGTCCACCAGGTAAACAGGTTCAGGAACTGAGTTATTACTGAGGTAACAAGCAACCCAAGCTGTCTACAGTCTTCTCTGCTCTTCCGCAGCCACTTCACTCTGGACTTAGGACTGCGGCACTAACTAGGGTCAGTGGGGCAGGTTGAAACAGCATAGTGTGGACGATGGCACTCTTTCTGAAACACTTGCAACAGACTCCACATGAATAAAAACTAAAACAATGGTGGGAACTACTGGAAATATTTATTTGAAAGGGAAGACTGAAAGCAGCAAACACCATCTGCCTATAAGTTCATCACGGGGGCACAGAAGGGAATTGGTGAGGCTTTACTCACCAAGGCGCCCCCGGGGGTTACAAGAAATAATGGCCACAAGCTAGCAGAGAGCAGATTTAGATTGGACATTAGGAAGAACTTCTTCGCAGTTCGAGTGGCCAGGGTCTGGAA